CTCGTACGCACAACTTAAGAACAAATCTGTGCGTACCAACGGTTCTTGCATGAGGCCCATTGTTACTTATAAATTATATATTTTTCTGGTATAAATCTACTGTTTTACATGACTGTTGAATGAAATTAACATAGTTATTAATTTATTGTAAAAACATGACTGATAATGTGTGTAACAGATCTGGTTCAGCTGCTGTTTATCTATTAGTTTCTATGGAGGCTGTGAGCTGTTGCCCTGTTAGGTCTGTTTCTGCTCCTCCATGATGTCACAGACACTATCAGTGAACAGTATGGCAGGGCTCAGTCTAGTGATCTTTATATTTAAGTCTAAGTTTTTTAGTAGTCCCCACATGGCAACCACAAAATAAAAATAAATAAAAAATCTTCTGGAGGTGATGGGCAATAATGTGTGTTCTCTTGTCTGCTAGCAAAATACCTAATAAGCCACTGAACAGTTTTTAAAGAAACTCAAAGTGATCAGTGGATAAACATCGACCACACTCATGACTCAGCACTTTGGTAGYGCTGTTTGAAATGTTTGTAATTTTTCATGCACTCTTTAGTTCCCTAGAAGTCGTACGCTGTATTGACGCAGTAGCTAACCAAGACTAACGCTAGAGTTTGAAACACTTTATGTCCAAGTCTACTCATGAAACATTTTAGATATATTGTAATTCAAAATGTAAAACAAGCTCATGGCAGTTTGTGTTGTGATGAAGTTGAGTGTCTTGTTTTTAATATTTGCACACATACTGCAGCTTATAAAACCAGGCGTGTACAGAGATATTTCATAGGTGAAAATTCATTATTTTTGTATGGTTTATATATAGTTACAATAGCGGTTCATGGTTGTGTAAAAGTATATAATAGAGTGGAAAAACAAGTACATACTGTATAAATAAATGTTATTGATGTCACACCTGACTGAATGTTGGGCACACAGTTATGAAGTTCTCTGCACCTGAATAGGTTTGGAAATGTAAAACCACTGTCCTGGATGTAAATTAATTGAATGTTAATCTCCAACGGATTATTCAAGATGGCCGCCACAACTTTAGTGAACCACACAAAGGTATAGCTTTGTCTATTTTACAGATATTGAGGTTTGTTCTGAGCAAATGATGTCTGTGTGTGGTCATGAGTAAATAGGTGGTGGCGGTAAAAAACTACCTAATTGTGAAGAGGAGACTGTTTTTTTCTTTTAGTTTTGGTTTTTATCTCAACCCACAGCTGTGTATACAAAATGCACTTCCTTTTCTTTGTGTGCTGTTTATACTGCTGCCATAGTGACGGCAGTCCACACCTTTCACGCTCCCACAGTGAGTCCATTACCTTAATTTAAGAGAAGAAACCTRCATCTGAAACATATTGAAGCTGGATCATCTTGCTTTTTTTTTTTCTTTTCAACTTAGAAAAATGAGCATTTAAGTGGATGCATTAATATMTTCAAATGATAAATAGTCAAAAAATAAAACTCTTGTTTATTAAAACCTAATCATTCGTTTCTTGATCAGTAATTCATATTAAAGGCCTAATGTTAAGCCTTTGCTGCCTTTCATGCCAGATTTTGGACTCATATTGGGAAATGACATTTGTATAATTTTGTACAAAACTAAACAATAAGTGTGATCTTATGTGTTAGGTACTACGTACCATGTCAAATTTACATATCTGTAAAATTGACAGAAATATAGCAATTTTTGTGCATTTTAAGGTCAGTTGGCGTTGCTGGCCATCTTGACTTTATTTGGCACCAAAAGTTAATCAGTTTTTCAGGGACACCCAATGATTACTACTTGAAAATTTCATTCAGGTTTATCCAGTGGTTCATAAGGTACATTGCTAACAGACAGGCTGTTGTCGCCAAATACTTAAATGCAAAATTTGAAACACAAGTCTTGTGTAATTTGTTTGATGCACAAAATTAGTTGGGGATGAGTCTCAGCTACTGCCACACCAAATTTCAATTCATTATCTGCAAAACAGTGATTTGTATGCATTTTTGTTGTTGTTTTTAATAACATCAGCTGCCGCAGACATCTTAAACTGGGTAGACACTAAAAGTTAATCAGTTGAGGATGCACATCCAAGGATTACTTCAGGCATGTTTTGTTAAAATCTACCAAGTGGGTCTTGAGATATTTTGCTAACAGACAAACTGATACAAAGAAAACACATTAGACCACTTTTGTTTTTCAGTTGAGACTGAAACAACACTTTTGACCTGGAGGGGGCGACATTGCTTTGCTAAACAGCTTGATGTTTGCTGACTAAAGATGTTGTTCTTGTCACAATTGAAGACAAAAACAGCACAAAGTGTGTGGTTTTATGCTGAGGTATACACTGACGAGCGTTGGGAGTGATATGTGTGGTTTAATCCAGCTCTCAGTCTTTTTAAATGGATTCAATAGAAAAATACCGTCGTCCAGTCAGAGTGATGAATATATTATGTTAATCAGCTGCCCTCTCAGCCAATGACACGCCGCCTCTTTGCATGCATTTACCCGGGAGGGAGAGTGGAGCTCCGCGGCGCTGCAGCCCTTCGCCTCAGTCTTTTGTGTGCTCTGTCCCGGCTTGCGAGCTGCTCCGTCGGCCCGGCGGTGGCAGGGGGGTGGGTTGGGGGATTCACCTAGAGACGAGCCGCCGCGCGGAGCTTCAGCAATGCGCCGTTTTTCTACTTTTCTACCACCGGGCTCCACCGTTTCCCAGCCGACGGCTCGGGGCTTTCAGCGCGCGGAGTAGCATGAATTCTCAGTGTTACACGGTGGCGATGGACCTCGGTGTTTGTCAGCTGAGGAATTTCTCCATATCGTTCCTGTCCTCTGTGCTCGGAAAGGACCCGGTCACGGTTGATAATAGGTGAGGCTGGCTCGCGTCAAAAGCTGTGTGTATAGCTGAATATAATCGTAATTTTCATGGTTTTATTCCGCTTTGAGCCATCATCTGTTTCCTCCAGAGCCCAGCCAGCCGCAGTGTTACATCATCCTGCACACAGAAACCTGACGGACCCTGCTTGTTTCTCTGTCTTTCAGCTCTTCTGGTGCGAGTGTGGTGGCCATCGACAACAAGATTGAACAAGCGATGGTAGGTGATTGTTTCTGCTCTGCACGTCCTGCTGTGTGTTATGTAACACAAACAATGATGCAGACCGCTGCCAACACATAAAGGCTTTCACCGTGCACGCTTTGAATCTCATTTTTAGTGGGGATTTGTTGTAAAATGTCATGTTTCTGATCGGTGCACGGATGAATGAAAACGGGTTTTCTGCACCTGCCTGCGTTTGAGGCGACAGGAGCTTCCTGCTGGTGTCACCGTTCAGACCGATGACCTCCAGCCCCCTGTTTGCAGCTTGATCTGGACCAAACCGAGGTCTACGCCTCCTCCTCCCCTCGTTTTTTCTCCCTCCTCATAAACACTGCTCCTCTCAGCTCCTTCCCCACATCTCCATCTGAGTGTTGCTAGGCAAGCTGCAGCCTCCCCTTTGCTCAGTATAAATAACTCGGGCCCTGATTGGCTCCTCCCAGCCCCGCGCAGGAACATTTTGTTCCCTTTGCTGAGGCAGGAGGAAGGATGGGGAGGGTCCACAGAGGAGGAGATGCTCAGATTATTAAACAAATCCTCCTCCAGCTCACTGCCTCCACTCTTCAGAACGAAAGCAAGTGTTTAGATGAAGATTTCAAATCAGAAGTGTCCAGAATAAAATGAAGTAATTACATTGGTGATACTGGAAAATTGACAGATTTTCTTGCTGTTGCCCTAGTTTCAATATACCTAATTTATAAATGATTCATAGATAATGTGTTGGCTTTTAAATTGTCAAAAAGCTTTAAAAAATAGCTAACTTTTTTTTGAACATGTTACAAAAATTGTAAGACTAATTATTTTTCTCAAGAAAGGACTACTCAAGCACCTGGAACTCATCTGGGACTGTTTTCAATTTAGTTTGAGTAATTTTAAAGCCCTAAAGCTGCTATTATTATTATTATTGTTATTGTTATTATTATTATTATTATTATTATTATTGCTATTTTTTAGTCTGTATTTAAACTCATTGTGATTTCTGGTCTAAATATCTAAAGAGTCCATGCAAACTGTTCATTGGGATTACAGTTTGCACCTTTTTACCACAGTTTTGCTTCTTCAACAGTCTCAGCGACCTACAACATTTTGTATAATTTAGTTTATTTTAGTTTTTGCAAATATTTCCATGATAAATTGATTGAGTTGACAAAATAAATAAATGCCAAAAGCAGTTTGTCAAATGCAAAAACTTAAGCCTTGAGTTTGATTGCTTCATTTTGCACTTCCAAATGATTGCATTTTACTGTGACTAAAAACAAGAACAAAACATTGAATAAAATGAAGCCTAATTAGTTTACTTGTGATTATAAAGGTTGTATCCGGTTCTAAACAGCAAATGACTTCATTTCAGATTTTAAAACATAAAGTATAAAGTATTGCAGCTTTTCTRTTAAGCAAAAATGAGAGTTTAAACTAAACGTCTTTGTTTAAGGGGTGAAAGGTACGGCAAGCAAATGTATTGCATAATAGATTGCATCTAAAAATGCAAATATCTGTAATTCAGCTCTTCCTAATAAAATTGAGCATTTTAGGGATTTAGATTTTCCTATCCACCACTAATATTTAAAAAATGTTGAACAAATTTCTTGAATATCCCAATTATTTTCCTTTTTTTCATCTGTGATTTCTTAAAACAAGCTTTTTGTGGAAACCTGAAATGATTTCCTGCAGTTTTGACTTCCTGTTTTTGGAGTGATTGAGTTTTAAATCGCATCAAATATTTTATTTATAATAAAAAATAAAACCTACTGTAGTCCACCTGAATATACAGTAGACAGCCTGATTAAAACCAATGTTCTTAACATTAGGATGAAGGTCTCAGGTTGTATGCATAACCAGGCTTTTAGGATTTTGGAAGAGTGTGCCAATATATAAGCCATTCCCCCATGACCCCACCCTCTACATGCTCTTACAAAGCTTACAGAAATTTACGCAATTTACTTGTGTTAATAAACCATGGGCAGAACCGGGATCAGAGACCATGGTAACAATACACGACAACAGCTACTAAAGCTGTAATATCACTACCTACCTGCTCTGTCCAAGCCGGTGCAGTTTATTCTTTATGCGTCTTTATCTGGCTTCATAAAATACCTGTGGTCATCCTCATACCGCTTACAAAATTTTGTAGAGTAAAACAATAAAGGAATAAAAACTCTGTCAAAGCTAAAAGTCAGCCTGGTGTCCTGAAGGTGTCTCAAGGCCATCTGAAAGATGTCTGAAAGATATCCGAAAGATGTCCTAAAGATGTCTTAAAGATGTCCAAAAGATGTCCTTAAGATGTCCTAAAGATGTCCTAAAGATGTCTGAAAGATGTCCAAAAGATGTCCTAAAGATGTCTGAAAGATGTCTGAAAGATGTCCTAAAGATGTCTGAAAGATGTCCTAAAGATGTCCGAAAGATGTCTGAAAGATGTCCTAAAGATGTCTTAAAGATGTCCTAAAGATGTCCTAAAGATGTCTGAAAGATGTCCTAAAGATGTCCTAAAGATGTCCTAAAGATGTCCTAAAGATGTCCGAAAGATGTCCGAAAGATGTCTGAAAGATGTCCTAAAGATGTCCTAAAGATGTCCTAAAGATGTCCGAAAGATGTCCGAAAGATGTCCGAAAGATGTCCTAAAGATGTCCTAAAGATGTCCGAAAGATGTCCTAAAGATGTCCGAAAGATGTCCGAAAGATGTCCGAAAGATGTCCTAAAGATGTCTTAAAGATGTCTTAAAGATGTCCTAAAGATGTCCTAAAGATGTCCTAAAGATGTCTTAAAGATGTCTTAAAGATGTCCGAAAGATGTCCTAAAGATGTCCTAAAGATGTCTTAAAGATGTCCGAAAGATGTCTTAAAGATGTCTTAAAGATGTCCTAAAGATGTCCGAAAGATGTCTGAAAGATGTCCTAAGGATGTCTGAAAGCCAAACAGGGCTTAGTGACACTCTGATGTGTCTCTAGCTAAATGCATGTACATACTTTTTTCTCTTTTTATTCTCAGTTTTGGACCTTTTAATAACACATTTTTGCTCGTTAAAGTACACAAGCAAATAAAAATAATTTTGAAACGATTAAAAGAAGTGGTGGCTCTAAACTTGACAGAGCTTTTTCTAGTAAATGTTTTGTTTGAATTAAAGACATACATTTGACCTTTTTTAGGAAAAAGGACAAAAACTGTAAGAAGAGTTTATGTAATTACATGTGTATGTAAGGTTATATAACACATTAACACTGGACTGTTGTAAGTCTTTGATAGTGTTTGGCTTTGGTGTGCCACCTCAGGGTCTGCAGTTGTCCCCACATTATTTTTGTGTTGCTGAGGTCGATGGGCTGTGGTGGCCATCTTGAAATGCATTCAGTGATTTGTAATCCGCAGCATCTTTTAAGCGTCTCTGTCTCCTCCCTGTGTTGTCAGGACCTGGTGAAGAGCCACCTGATGTACGCCGTGCGCGAGGAGGTGGAGGTGCTGAAGGAGCAGATCAAGGAGCTGATTGAGCGCAACACTCAGCTGGAGCAGGAGAACACCCTGCTGAAGACCCTGGCCAGCCCCGAGCAGATGGCGCAGTTCCAGGCCCAGGTTCAGACCGGAGGCTCCCCGACCAGCACCGCCCAGCCTCCGGTCCCGTCCGGAACCACGCAGGTCCTCCCCTCCATGCAGAACTCCAGCACGTCAGCGTAACGCAGAGGAGGCGACGCCGAACCCCCTGAGCATGAGGGACAGGGGGGACGGGAGACAGAAGATGAGGAGGAGGAAGGAGGAGGGGACTGTGAACAGACTTCACTAAGACTGATGGTGCCGTCGTCTGGAGGAACGCACAGTGAACCGGAATCAACTTCTCCTTTTGTTGCACGTTTAATTTAACTGAACAGATTCAGAGTTGCACCTGTGTCCACCCCCACACGCACACCTGCTACATCGTCAACTCTCACTACCTGCTTCAGACAATCGTCTTTGTCATCCCGCTCAAAAAGAAAAAACAAAAAAGTACGGTAAGGACTGGGGAGAACCTCCTGAGTTCCTGTGGAAAGTGTGCCATCGTTTCATCCCCTCCCCCAGCACACAGCTCATCACACTTCAGCATCTTCGTCCATTTATGTCCATTTGCACTTCTTTTTTTAATTTTATTTTTGTAATTCCGTGGACGGACTTTAAATGGACAAACATTTCTCTGGAAACAGGAAGATTGCGGCTGTGCATCTTTCTGGCCTCTGCAGACTAGAACCTGGACAGAACCGTTCTTTCTGAACACAGTCTTGCTTCTTTTCTTGGTGTCTGGTGGAGCGGTTCCTGCAGAGAATCAAATGTTGTTGTTCTGTTTTTTTAATGGGGAGGGATATGTGCTTTTTGTTTTTTAATCAATGTAATAATGTCCAAAAAACTGAAAAAACTGAAAGGCTTATATAAATGGGACAAGACTGTTGTTCGGTAGTCCAACTTTGTACAGATGAAAACATTTCCAATTAAACTCAGCCAAGTGCCTGGTGTCTAACCATAGATACATATATAAATCTTTTTTAAGTTCTTCTGTTGGTGTGTGTGTCTGTGTATATATATTTATCTATGGTTTTACCAGGTTTTGAACTACCTGTGATGTCAGAACTCAGGTTGGGACCAGATGAGGGTTTTTAACCTCGACACTAAGATGCTGTCTCTCCTGCAGGACTGTACATGAACTCTGCTGTTGCTTCAAGCTCACCTGCTCAAATGATCGGGACTCTTCTTACCATGTGGGAACGTGTGTGTTTTAATTTAATGTAAATTACATGTTTTTAGTTCTTTTTTTTTTTTTTTTTGTACAGCCATGTGTGTAAGTTGCTCGTAGTGCGACTGGAGCGCTGAACACGAAAAAATGCGACACTTGTCATGAGGAAACGTTGGGGAAATGCCGAGCAGAAGTATGTTGATGTTTTTGTGCATGTTCCTTCAGCCCATCACAAATGTGACGTATCAATTGCACTAGACAGTTGCACCTCAAATAAAAAACAAAACCGCTTAAAAAAAAAAAGGTCTTTTGGGGTTTTCTTTAACAATGATTGATTTTTATTTTATTTTTAAAGGAAGTCTGAGTGTAGAGAGAACACAACTTTAGGCATAAAAATGTTAAGATATTTGAGCTTGGTTTTATCAAAATTTTATCTCTGAAGGTCTGAAAGGGATCCACGATTAGTTGTAACATTAAACTTTATTTGATAAACATTTTAACTGTAAAATAAAGACTGTAAAAATACTGTAGGCTGTTTAGTTTTGTAAATTTTTTAAAATATATTTTAACATGGACGGAGACATTTTATTTACACACAAAGCATTCTGGGTAAATGATGAYGTGGATAGGTCCTCGGTGTGAGCGAGCTATATCCACCCTGAAGGTTAATCTTGGACAATATCTGATGATTGACTCTTAAATGAAACCAGAGAGCGTTGACAGAGAGGAGAAGGTAGAAATGACTCAGCCTGTAACTGAAAATATAGATGGAGGACAACAGAGCTGCTTCATGGARGAAGAACCTCAGCTTAGCCTCTTAGCCTTTGTGCTAGCACCAACACTATWTTGCTTTATATGTATTAGCTCAGCACTAGCGCAGCAAGTAACTTAAGTTGATTCAAATAACTCATAGTTTAGAGTAATTGAGACACAATAATGTGCTTTATAGCCCACAATTGTGACATTTCTTTTATTTGAGTGTAGTTTGCAAACAGACAAAACATGGTTGACGTCATACAGTTGATGGCAATGCCACAACTAATGTTAAGCCAGTTTCTGTAAAGCTGGCTGAGTTATAACCATTTTGCGGTTTTTAAGTTCAGCTGGCTATAGCAGCCATCTTGTATCGGGTTCACTGTAAAAGTTAATCAGTTGTAGTCGTCCTTCCAGAAATGTCTACTTTCAAATTTCTTTCAAATTTGCSYAGTGGTTCAGGAGATATTTTGCTAACAAACACGTCCAAAACAAAGGAATGCTTCAGATCTGCCCCAGACACCACACTGACCTCATTAGACATGCGCAGAGGAGGGGCGTTATGTAGATGCAGTCATTGTCGCGGCGTCTCATTGGTTAGCTGGTGTCGAGCCTATGGTGGCCCCGCCCACAATGTAAGTCACGCGGCCCTGCACGCGGGAGGAGGACATGCAGGGGCAGCATGGAGCAGTAAATAAATATTTTACAGACAAAACGGCAAATTAATTTACAAAGGGTTTTTTTAGTAAACTATTTAGGCAGATAATGGCCTGTTCTTATCTAAAATATGACCTTACAACCTGTTTCTAAAGACAAAAAATGAAAGAACAATAAAACCAGCCTAACAAAAGCAACTAATGTTCAGTGTCTGATTTGATTCAAGATGGCTGCCACAATTTAATTTAGCCAACTTAAAAATGGCTGAAACTCTGTCAACAGACACAAATTTGGTGTGGCAGTAGTTCAGAGTCATCCACAACATGTACTCTGAGTGCTAACACGTCACGCAAACTTTGGCAAGTCCTCCTCTCTGTTAGCAAAATATCCAACAAACCGCAAGATGGGTGTGAATGCATCTCAGAAAGTAACTGTCACTGAAAAATGGTGGATTTTACGAGTGGTTGTCCAGTCCTGGTCCTCAGGGGTCACTGTCCTGCATGGTTGTTTTCTCTGCTTCAACACACCTGATGTGAGTCAGTTGGTAATTAACAAGCCTTTGCAGAATTTGAAAAGCTAATCCAGTCACTGGTCAGGAGTGTTGGAGCAGAAAAGACAAGTAAAACATGCTGAGGACCAGGATTGGACACTCCTGATGTAGCGTGTAAGAAAGCTGCAAAAAATAATAAATAAATTTTTAAAATCTAGGTACTGCCTTTTGCTACAGGCCTTCCTCCCTCTTCAGGTCAGCCCTGACCCTGGATCCTGACCCGTACAGTCTGGCCGGGTGGCTCAAGTGGATGAGACGGGGCTTTCATGTCCAGATGGCAYTTTCGCAAATCCCATTTCATTGACAAAAGGTGTTTTCCTGAAGCGTGGAGACCGAACGTATCCATGGATCATCTATTTGTTGTCGACCTGCCGACACTCGGAGGCCCACCGTTCAGCACAAATATCTTCAGAAAGTTCTAAAACTGTGAAGTTCTTCTTCTTACTGCTTCTTGTTGTGTTTGTCATGTTGTTTCCAGACATGTAAAGACCACCCTGCCCTAAAATTGACCCCCCAAAATCCTCTTTACACCTCCATGAATGGACTTCCTGCTGTGTTATGTATTCCTTATTGCTGAGAAAGCAGACGACCTGCTGGGTAAACCCCCAACGTCCAGACTGTCAATAAGTCCCCCCCCCCCCCCCACAAGACTCCACATGAGGGGATTAGATCATCAGAGTCTGAGCCTCTGAAGTCATGTTTGTAAACAGAGAGGCAGGAAAGCAGCTGACAGGAGCAACGAGGCTGCAAAAACCCAAATATACAGAAGGTTAAAACCAGATTGTGCAGATTCTTACATGAGAGGACTCAAACACACAAATCTGATTACRATCACTTCATGTTGGGGAAATGTTGGAGTTTGGTCAAACCTTGACAAAGTGTGTCTACACACACAGACTCTCAGCTATTATTGGGCTAAACTTCTGCTCTGTTGCTGTAAAACTGACCAAATTACAGCCAGTTTTGCATTGTTGTTGTTTTTAAGTCAGTCGTCTGTGGCGGCCATCTTGAATCAGTTGTAGTTAGTTTCTTTGGCTGAGTCTCAATTCAGGGGCTGGGTCCTCATGAGTGTACATTTGTCGGCCGCATACGTCATTGCCCCGCGCGGAGGACTGTCCCAGTTCGAAGGCTCCTCATCATGCGGCCGAGGAATGCGTTCTACTTCCTGTCGAAATCCGAGGATGCATCCATGTATCCTTACCAGCCGAGGATATCCCAGCATTCAATGCACGGGCAGCAAAATATTCAGAGAAATGAAGACGGTGGTGTTTTTATTTTTTTTAATGTGTCGGCGCAATTTGGAAATTCACCACGGACCGAAG